CTTCTTATGACCCATTTTTATTTTAAACACACATGAAGCTGAAAACCATAACAATTATTATTACAGTAGTTTTGTGGGAAAATATTGAATTCACGATTAATTGATGATTGATTAAATGCCGTGTACAGTCGTTTGCTAGCTCAAATCAGGGACATTCACTGATAAATTGCCAAATTACATTATTTGTTTCCTCTGCGTAAATAAGAATGACTATAGTGCCAATATAAGCCTAATGGGGAAACTGAAATGTTATTATAGGTTGAAAATGATGTAGGTAATTTGTGAGGTCTCTGCATGATCATAAAAGTGAGGTATGCAATATCAAATTTCACCACAGTGTGGAGGCAAAGCATGTTTTTGTTTAAGTAGCTCTGTACTATCAAAAAATTATGAAGCCCAATTCCTTGCCTGGAACACATCTATCAATACAAACATAAGCACTAGTGAAGCATTTATTGTTGTAAATACAATGGTATTAAACTGCTGGTGGGAGGAATCTTCCTATTTTACATTTAATGTTCCTATTTGACTTTTATCGACATATTTTGTGGCACTTGCTGTTTCAAATTTATCTATAATTTGTCTGTACCCATTGCGACACTGAAGAAATGTTCACTTACTTTTTTCCCTGTAACTGTGTTTGTAAATACCTAAAATTAAAAGTTCCCATTGTCCCATTGTAAGTGTCCTTGCCTAACATCATATCTGTTAATGTTGCCATTATTTTCCTACCAAGGATGCTTGCAATGTGGTTGTGGTTTGGCTTATCAGTAGTGGTCACATTTAGTTTTAGAGCACCAATATGTAGATGATATTTAATAGATGACAAAGAACAAGAATAGTAAATCTGTAATATACATTTGATTATTTAGACTTATTTCATACCTTAACTTTGAAACAATTTGACCCTGGTTTATAGTTGCTTTCAATGGACTAACACACAGCGCCAAGAGCAAACAATAGGAAGATACACAGAGACATAAAGTCAAAACAAGGAAAATAAGACCAAACAAAGATGCAAACATAAACATGTTATGTGCAGTTAATATGTACTTACTTGTTATTATGTAATTAGGCTTCTTTAGATGTGTAGATTGGTGATGATGTAAGGGTCTTAATTTTGTGGCTTCCTTTGAGCTTACTAAAACATGATTTTTTTTTTAATACTGGTTTTAGTTCATTATTAATGCGTTAATGCATTAATTAATTAACGGCGACAATTATTTTATTGCACGTTAATTGTAGTTTTTATTATAAGGCCTATTATATTGAAAGTCCGTCGCTCACTGGTTCTGAACATACATACAGTCAAACCATGGGTCACATGAGCCGTGGGATGTTGAAGATTTTTATTAACATTGTCTGTGCTTAGTACAGTAGAAAGAACTGGCACCTTTGTAGCCTTATGTTGTTCAGGACTGGCCTCCCCTCTACACTAACCTCAAAAGACACAAGAGGGCAGCAAGGCATACAAAATGCAACATATTCATCTAGTGAGAGAGCAAATGCATATGCTGTCTGTTCATGTTAGTTTGAAAGAGTTAATTGTGTACTGATGGTGCCCTCTTCTGTATGTGTACTGTTAATACACACGCGATTATAATGTGTTATGGAAATAGCTGTAATAGCTGCAGAACACATCAAGCTGCCAGTGTCCTGTATTACCAACAACCCTCACAGCCAGCTTTCTATTTAGTTAATTTAAGGTGTACATAAGACATTTTTGATACTGATTTATGCATTTGTCAGATTTCACGTAGTGGTACAATAAGCTGTAAATTTCTCTAAATGTCTTTTTGGTTTTATTTGGAATTCCTGCATGCTGGCCAGAGCCGAGAATAAGATGCCTCATTCAAGTTAGTTAATATCTAATCAGTAACATACGGGATGGTGTGCTTGACCTTTAGTAAACTGAATAGAGTTTACTGTCGATTCTTGACTTTAATCAGTTCAACTTTGATATTGCTCAAATGCAAGGAGAGGATTTCTTGACTCTTTCACCTCCTTAATTTCACATATTTTTCACATCCAAACAGTATTATTTTCCCACTTGATTATGCACTGTATCCTGTTATTCTTCTTTAACTCAATACATGTCGTCTCTTCTGTTTCACCCTGCACACATCAAATATCAACTAACACAAAATAAAAAGGTTGTATTCACAGTATTCTCATTTCTTTTTTATTTCATACAGCTCAGTGCCTCACAGTTTCCATTTTATTCCTTGGTCGTTAGACAACATATGAGAGTTTCACATTAAAACACACATTTCATTACATATATTAACATGGTCACAGCAAACTTTGATGAGACAGGTGATTTCACAGATTTACCTGTTAACATATTAATTCAGTTCAACTATTTTGCATGTGTAAAATAATCCAATTATTGCATATAATCAGCTGCCAAAAACAATAACGGTGTGTTGTTTCACTGTTAATTTATTCTTGACAACAGTATGTATTGTGTAAATGCACATACTCTGATAAGAGACATAGCTCATTTTGAGGCAACAGTAGATGACATAGCTCTTAATACAAGTCCTAAAGCACATAACTGACAAACACTGGTGAACTATTTATAAAACTCTTTGTATTGGGTGCAACTGCTGGAGGAGAAGGAATTATGAGCATGAAAGTAATTTGTGCTTTTCATGAATAGCCTTGTATAAGAATTAGTCAAACTTGAATTACCGTTAAACACACACTGTACTGTTTTCATTATGCATTATTTGAAAATTAACTTTTGTCAGAAATGCTCATGAACATAGTCACAGGAACAGTGAAAAGTAAAGGGATTGAACAGCAAGGAATGTATTTATAAGGCAGCAAGACAGTCTTTGGAAGAAAAGCAAGTTTTAGCTTGCTGACAGTGCGTTAAGATGGACGGATTTTATTCCTATAAAAGTGCACAATTTTTTCTCGAATTTCTTTTGTTTTCAGTCCATAGATGATTGGATTCACAGCTGGAGGGAAAATCAATGTTGACACCCCCATGAATCTCCTTAGATGTGGTGAAACATTATTTATTCTGTATGATATGATGGTGAAAAGACCCAGACATTCCAACAGGAGAAAAACAATTAGATGTGTAGCACATGTCTGCAGAGCTTTGGCTTTTGTGTCTGATCGTTTGGATCTGAAGCATGCAACAAGGATCTGGAGATATGTAAACAAAATCATCCCATTTGCTATCACTTGTGAAAGAGCACTTATAAAAAGCCCATAAATGTTATTGGTGGTTGTGTCTGCACAGACCAGGGACAGCAAAGATGGATTATCACAGTAGGGGTGTGTCAATTCAGATCGACAACGGGGTAAACGCAAAAGCAGGAAAAAAAGCACAACTATTAGAACTAAACTACTCATCCACAGAACTGTGATTAATCTCATAATATGTGCATTAGTCATAATTGTGTTGTATTTCAAAGGGTAACATATAGCAATGTATCTATCATATGCCATAGCAGACAGAATGAACACTGTACCTCCTGCATAGATGTGAATAAAAAAAGCTTGAACAACACAAGCTGAGTATTGCATTGTCCTGTTGTTTGTCAGTATTTCGTTAATAACTTGTGGGAAGAGTGCTGACGAGCCTATAAGGTCATTAATAGGAAGGTTCAGCAGAATTAGATACATGGGCTGATGTAGAGATTTGTTCAGTACAATGGTGAGGATTAGAACAAGGTTGCAGAAAAGTATGATCATGTAGCCCAGAGTTGCAAAAAGAAATGCAGGAAAGACAGTTTCAGAGGAGAGATTAAAGCGATCCAGCACTAAAACAGATGATATGTTGTACAGGTTGCCCATTTTTATGCTCTTCTTCCCTAGAAAATTTAAAAATCATTTCATCATCAATTAATTTAATTATTAAGTGACAACACATCAAATTAGCAAATATGACAAGAAATGCATAAATAAATAAATATGAAAGTCATATTTGAGTTATAATTAGCAAACTGTAATTTTTCACTTTTAAGGACAGAACTTACCAAATTAAAGATTAAATACGTCCACTTCACTTTGAGTCCACATGCATTTCAGATGAACCTGACGCATCATATGTCATATACTGTACATATTTAACAAGTATACTCTTTTGGACTTACAGTTTTGTAATGAAACTCTAGGACAAAACTAAAAGACATGACAGAAAACAAGCATTCAGTAATAATGTATTAACAAACATGTAATGGATCATCACTACCCAGTACCAGCAGCACTGGCAATGACCAACTGGCAAGGATGAGCAGCTTTATAGGAGTGATTTTTGCTGAACACTATGCAGCTCCCTGGAGCTTTCTGGATTGCAATAAAGTTAATCTTTGGATTGTTGTGGCAATGACTTACGCACTGGCTCACAAGGGACTTGTGAGGAATATTAAATATATTAGTTACTCCACCAACACTCAACATAAATGAAGTTAAGAGTGTGGACTGACTCTTTTTCATTTGTCTCAGTAAAGAAAGGAAACAGGGTCCAGTAAATATTGCAACTAGTAGACTGTAATCTTGCATAAAATATTTTTGCTCAAAGGATTACTTATACTGGATTTGGAACTTGCCTTTATTTCATAGGGAAGCCAAAACTAAAAACTGGGTGACAGCTTTGATGAACATACACGAACATGTTTGTGCTCTGCTTGAGTTCTGTGGATTTCAATCTGTATATTGTCATGGGGCTACCCCATGCCTTCATTTAAGCCAGCGGTAGCATTGGTCTTAGCATGCTAAGCTAACCTTAGCTGAGCATTAGCATAGGACTTTTAGAATTAGCATTACCTTAGCATATGGGCTAGCATCAATGGACACATGGCTTGTCATTTCATGTCATTTCATTTCAGTTCATTACATTACAGGTACCAGTCGAAAGAGTTGAAATCACGATTAGATAAATACAGCACATACACAGTTCATTTCAAGTCATTTATTTTAGCTTATTGGATTTACCCAAGGACATCCAAATGTTTGTATGTTTCATTCACCTGTTCTTATCCTCAAGCAGGGATCTGGGTCAAAGTGGCAAACAGGAAGCGATGGCCTGTGGAGTACTTTATAGGGAGGAAGACCTGGAATGGTCCAAGTGTGAGCCAGTACAGAGGGGTGTACTGGAGTACCTTAAGTTGCTGTTTTGAGAAGCTTTGTTTAGCATGTAACATTTCATTTCTGGTTTTATAGTTGATATATTGTGTATTGATGTTGCCAGAAATGTTTTGGACTGAGTTAATAATGGTGTTTAATTGATTTCCAATTAACTTTCTTTGTCTTGTAGGAGGGGCTTCTGGTATAAAGGAGGGAGGCAGAGTCTCCTCTTGGGAGAACAGCTTTGGCCTGGATGGGCACATACAGCCCAACTGCCAGCGCCTGCTATAGGTTGTTGTTGTTGTTGTTGTTGTTGTTGTTGTTGTTGTTTAATAATATCAGTTTGTAATGATAATTTGAATAGTTATACTTAGTTCTCTTATAGTTGCTCAAAACATGTGAAATGTGAATCAGGAAATGACGGGACATTACACAAGAAACAGCTGTTGTTAATTATTATAAAGATAGCAATTATAAAGACAAAGAAAATGGGTGAAAGAATGGATTAGCACACACAGGTAGCAGTGATTGTCTGAGTTACTGAACGACTGGCGATCGCAGTCGTTACCCCTGATCACAGACAAGCTCACCGACCGGCAAATCAGGCTTAAAATAGTGTGAACTAGGCTTTAGGTGTGAGATGATACACTTAGCTCACATGCACAATGCACAATATTGGGTTCACGAGAACAAGAAAAGAAGATATTTTAACACTATTTTGATCAAATATTCAATGCTGATGTAAATGGGGGTCGGGGGGTCCTCCCCTAGAAACATTTGAGAATTAAACACTTCATTTCCTGCATTTGGGGACATTTTCAGAAAATTCAGGTGATAATTCAAACAAAATAAAATGCAGTAATCAGCAGCTTGTTTTTTTAGCTTAAGTTACTTTTTTTGGACAATGCACATTTGTTTTCTCTATATTTACATTGCATTGCATGTTTTCTTATTGTGCTGATAAACCTTTCTCAAAGCATTTTAATTTGTTTGTTTTTTAAATATTTCTTGTTGCAAGCCATTTTTCAGAACATATTTAACAAATGCTTTTTAAAAAAGTGATGGAAGCGTCACCAGCGTAAATGACACCTATGTAATGAATACAATATTTGTTGCACTAAGTAACAAGGAACTTAACAAGGAACTGCGCATGTGCAACTCTCAACAAAGATCATTTAGAGACAAGATGTATCACTCCATAGCTAAAATGAAGCCTTCAACACAGGGTGAAAAGAGGAGCTGCAGCATTGTGCAGTATGACAAAAATGTGGTGTTTTTTGAAAATGAATCCATGTAAACTTGTTCTGGTACAACACCTAAGTAAGATTTTGAACCTGAAAATTAGCATAATACCACCTCTTTAAGAGCTTTGTAGGTGAGCAGAAGGATTTTAAATTCTATTCTGGCTTTTACAGGGAGCCAATGCAGAGAAGCTAAAACAGGAGAAATATGATCTCTATAGGTACCATATCCTGCTGCCTGTCAGTGCCAAATCCGTACCACCTGCTAGATCCGTTCCGCACATGCACAAAAGTGGTTCTGTCAGTCAAAGAAGGTTACCGCAAATCTGCCTATTAAAAATGATCCAACTAAATCTTTCACAGGTTACAGGTGTTATGCCTAATTTTGCATGCCTGCCGAGAATTGTAGGAAAATGCATTAAAGTTCTGCTTTTAAATGCTATACTATTCTTTGTGGCGTTCATCAATAATGATAAATGATCAGTATATATTTTATTAACGTTAATCGTTAATATATTATTACACTTTTACCATTTCTTGAGATTCAGCAAAAACATGTGACATGTGATATTGGAGGCTACCTACCGAAATTTGCATCCACCTCGAGGTGGCATGCAGAATTCGGCACCTGTGCTGCAAAACGTCACTAGACCTCGTGGGAGCAAGGCCTTGTGGGCGTTGTGTTGGACTGATTTGTGCAGCGGTGTTTATGTTTATGTTGTCCGTGTTTGTGAGAGAAAGAGAGAGAGAGCGACCGAGTGAGACGATGTGTGGAGCAAATATGTGCTGCAATCAAGAACGATTTTAAAATGGGTCGCCAAATTTACTTCGGCGGGTGTTAATCTACCTGGGCGGCCCAGCCAATTAATGCCTATGTATGGGAAACACTGCTGAGATTAAACTTTTCACTATGATGTAATAGGAATATACTTAAGATATGAAAACCCTTATTCAACAGTACATTTTTAATTTCTAATAATGACAACAATTTAACAAAGTAGCCACTAGCTGGCCTGGCTGCCGATGTGCACAGCTGTAGGGTTAGCCGTTCGACATGCATACAATCGCTGGCTTAGGTTTAGGCACACACCCCTGTGATGGTTAGGGTAAGGGGCTTTGGGAAGCTGTCAACACCTTTTATACCAACATAGATAGCTACTAGCACTTCTGGTCTAGACAGAGCGTCTCATACAATAGATCAATAGATGCATTACATAACATTTAGCTGACACTTTTATCCAAAGCGACTTTTTCAAAGGTGTGTTGTATGAAGGTATTTTTGTGTCTTTTTAATGCAAGCAAAAGAAATTTGAGAGAATATTTATTGCACTGCAATCAAAAATCAAGTTTGTAATAAAAAAAAACAGGCCTTTTTGTGTCACAAAAAGCCCATGCGGTAAATGCAAAACCATGATTGATCAGTCAAACCCACCAATAGAATCTCTTATTATGACCATTTTTGACTTGCAAAACCTTTCAACTTGCAAAACTCTCACTTGCAAAACGGTTTAACCTGCAAAACTTTCTGACTCACAAGGAAAACCTTTTGATTTGCAATCAAATAATATGACATAATAGCAATTAAAACTTTTTGTGACACAAAAAATTACAAACTTGATTTTTGATTGCAGTGCGATAAATATTCTCTCAAAACATTTTATTTTTTTTGCTTGCATTAAAAAGACACAAAAATACCTTCATAGTGTCGGTGCCAGTTGAGTGCAGGTCTTGGTGAATTTGGTTTGTAAAAGTTATAATTTTATCGTTAAAGAAGCTCATAAAGTCGTTTCTACTGAGGAACAATTGAAGCAATTGTCTTCCCTCATTGAATACATTTTCCATTCATCACATTTGTGATTTGTGCACTTCGACACACAACTTAGCTTAAAGTATTTGCTGTTGACAAAATGATTTGCCAAAGGATTTAGAGGAGGACTTCAAATAGAGAATTGTTTGTATAGTTATACAATGTTTCTTATACATATATTAGTTTGCCTTTCAAATCAGTGTTCTCAAATACTGAAATAATGCACTGTTTCTCAACATAGTCAAATAATGCCACTAAATTTACTTTAATTCCATTGCTAAGGACATATGTGCGTTTTGCAAATATCAGTGTTTCATTTCAGCATTGGTTATTCATCTCATTGTTCACATACAATATTAGGAAGTATCAAATTACATGTCATTTTCCACATTTGTCATTAAATTGATTTTATTCATTCAATTACAGATGTTTCACTATGAGTATCGGCACATACTAAAAATATTTTATTCAGTTTTGTAGTCAACAAATTATAATCCTTAAAATCTCTTCAAACACAATGGCGTTACATTACAAAGTTTCATACAGAGCAGATTGTAAATATATATACAGCATATATTCTATTTTTCAATTCAAATATGGATGCATGTGCAACTGTTGTAACTTTACTTCCTATTTACAGCAATGCTTTTGTTCATATCTTCATTTTTGTTCATCATATTTCTAAACATTTATAATAATGACCCAGGATGAAAAAGGACCTCAGCTGTCTCATGTAGCAGTTTTTAAAAGATTAAATAATTGACATGTAAAAAAACATGTAACCATCAGATGAACAAACATGTAGCTTGTTTTATTGTTTTTATGTTTTATTGTCCATAGTGAAAGAACACATGACAATTTTCTTGCTTTAAGTTTGAAATTATACTGGATTTGGGGGTCGCCTGTATTTTATTGGAAAGCCAAAAGTGAAAACTAGTATTACAGCTTTGATGAACATACATTTCTTTTTAGGAGCATTTTTATGTTTTAGAGTTCTGCAGTTTTTAGTCCATATACTGTATTATTGGGTGCAAAAAAGGGGGGGAAACTAAAATTGACACATCAAGAGTCCTTCTCAGAAAAGGCGGCACACTCATGGGAAAGGGACATGCATATTGCAAATCTCAGTGCTTCATTTGAGCATTGGTCATTCCTCTTATTGAGCACATACAGTATTAGAAAATATCAAATCACATGTTATGTAACACGTTTTCCACATTTGTCAAATTGATATCAGTCATTAGGAAATTACAGATGTTTCACAAAGAGCAGAGGCACATACTAAAAACATTTTATTTTATTTTTTTATTTTTTTGTAAAGGACAATAAATATATAATTGTATATTACGGTATATGTAGTAAATTCCCACATTATTTCCATTGTAAAGGAAAATATTTGTTTTTTAGTTCCACATCAATAGCTCACATTGTGGTCCACATATTAGAAAATATCCACAGACACAATGGCAATGGCAATTACATTACAAAGTCACACAGAGCACAATGTAAATACATATATTCTCTTTTTAAATTAAAAGATGAATGCATGTGCAACTGCCATAACTTTCCTTTATCTATAGCAATGCTTTTGTTCATATCTTCATATTTGTTCATCATATTTCTAATAATTTCTTAGAATGACCCAGAAAGAGAAATTACCTCAGCTGTCTCATGTGATGTGTACCATTTTTAAAAGGTTAGATCATTTACAGATTCAAACATGTAATAATCAGATGAAGAAACATCTAATGCATGACAAATATTTTTGATCAAAGGATTAAATTACACTGGATTAGGAAGTTGCCTATATTTCACTGGAATCCAAAAGTGAAAACTGTGTTACAGCTTTGATGAACATACATTTCTTTTTAGGAGTATTTTTATGTTTTGCTTGAGTTCTGCAGTTTTCAGTCCATATATTATTGGGTCCAAAAAAGGGGGGAAAATTAAAATTGACAAACCAAGCGTCCTTCTCAGAAAAGGGGACGCACTCTCAAAGCGATGAGAAACAACTGCAAACATAGCATTGATTTGTAGGATTAAGAAAACCACTAAATGTGAGCCACATGTCTGAATGGCTTTTCGCCAGGCATCAGACTGATTATTCATGACACATGTACGCAAAATCTGTGCATATGTGAACACTATTATTAACAGTGATCCCCCTTGGAGTAAGACTGTACAAAACAGTCCATAGTAGTTGTTCACTTGGGTGTCCTCACAGGCCAGTTTCAACAATGATGGATTGTTACAGTTTAAATCCACTATATTTGTCCTGCAAATTGTGAACCGTCCATTCAACGAAAATCAATGTGACCATCAATGAGAGATTAATAAACCATATTAAAATAATAATTCTAAGCAAGTTATGTGGAGTCATGATGGCATTATACTTCAAAGGACAACATATTGCAATATATCTGTCATATGCCATGGCACTCAAGATCAGCAAGTTTCCTGTAACATAAACATGAATCAAAAAAGCCTGAGTAATACATGCAGGATAGGATATCAGTCTATTCTGTGACGCAATGCTGAAAACAAGCTGAGGAAAAAAAGCTGTAGCACCAACCATGTCACTAATGGGCAAATTGAACAGCAGGATAAACATGGGCTTGTGTAGCTTTTTACTCCAGGCAATCGTTATTAATACCAAAAGGTTGAAAAACATAATCAACAGATATGTTAAAGTCCCAAACAGAAATGCTGGGTAAATATATGCATCAGATAAGCCCAGTGTTGTCAATGTTAGCAAAAGTCCAGAAGCATTTGTGTACATAATTGTGCAGTACTGCACTATGATGTTGTTGTTATTGTTGCTTCTTCTGTTGAAAGAAATTGCCAATTATTGCCTACTGACGAAGAATCACTTTTCACCTGAAAAAACAAACCAAAAACATCAATATTATACCAATGAACAAACAATCTAAGATTAAGCGCTATGGAATAATTCAGCTCTGCCTCTGATATCTTACCTCTGGCAATCTGATGTCCTATTCTCAGCTCGAGTTGAACTACTGAAACACTTTCTCTCTGCTGGCATTTAAGCACAAGGGTAATCAATTATATTACACATAAGTACAATGCAGAAAAGCTGACGTACATAACATCTATGATGCAATGCAGTTTAGTAGCCTTTTGTATTGTGTACGAAATCATAACCATCTGGGTGACAACAGAGGATTAACCTCTTACAGCAGTCTCACATTAATAGTATCAAACATGGGTTAAATGTGTGTTTAGTAGACACACATCATCTCTGGTATGAAGAAAGAAAAAAATATATTCCCTGGCAACCATAAAGTCACAGAGCACCTAATCGACTTCCATCACAGTGGCCATACATTTTATGAGGGCCCAAACATGAAACATGCAAGAACCCCATTAAAAGTGAATTTCTTTTTCTGCAATAAATCACAAAACGTTGCACACACGTCAGACAAAAATGTAAAATTATGTGTTTAATGGGTCTCACAAATGGGTGTGGCAAAATGGCTCGGCAGCATCCCCTACAGAGCAGCCCTCAGTAAAGGTTTTACCGAGACGTACAAAATTTCTGTGGCACATGTATCATGTCCAGACGTACATGAAAGGTGGAAACCATAACTAATGAACAGCAGGAACGGTTACACCAAATTACTCCTATTACAAGCCAACAGCAGCTTTAAAACACCTAAAACTCAAATATTTCAGTGATAGACGAAATACAATTCAGCATTTAGTAAAAATTTACATCAGTGAAATTCGATGTATAAAAAGAGCGGACATCGTGTTGGGGGACTAGTGCCTCCACCCCGACCCAGGGCTGGACTAGGACAAAAAATTGGCCCTGGCAAATTGGCACCCCTCACTAATATACCATCGTTCCATTTAGGGGGTCAGATTAAGGGTGTAATGAAATATTGAGACGTGACATTGCACAAGATTGGTGTCCATGACTACAAGACAAGAATATATTTTAATACACCTACTATTTATAAAAAATATTTACAGTTGAAATATTGAATAGGGGGGTCTAGGTGTCCTCCCTGAGAAGAGTTTGAGCATTAAAAACTAAATTTCCTGCATTCTGAAGACATTGTCTGCACCAATTTGTGGTGGGGTGGTGATGGCGCCATGGATAAGACGCATGGCTTTGGTTACTCCAGAGGCGTGCAACCTCTGACATAAATAGCAATTGTAAATGGCTTTGGATAAAAGCGTCAGCTAAATTAATAAATGTAATGTCTTCATTTTTATAAAGGGAAGCACAAAATTCAGGTGGCAGGTGACAATTCACAATGTAAAAATATAAAAAAATATAATGCAGTAATCAGTAGCTTATTATTATTTTTTGGTTAACAAATACTTTCAAAAATTTGGCGTTTGGCGGCCTCCTTCTGAAGAATGATTTTTTGGCTGTGTGGCTCGTTACGCAAAAAAACAGAGAGCAGAGGGGGTGGGGGCTAGTAAGAGATGTGATTGGGCCAGCCACAACTGTCCACGCTTTATGGGCCGTTATTATATATTAGTTATATAAATAATTTACATTACACCGGCCCCAAATGTGCATCGGCCCCAAAGGTGCGTCGGCCCACCGAGCATGTGCCCGGTATGCCAGATTACCAGTCCAGCCCTGCCCCGACCTGCTTGCTCAGACTTGCAGTACATTCAGTGAGGGAGAGGTAGATATGTTCGCTGCACAAGAAAATGCGCAGTGCACTCTGGGGACTGTTTATTATTGCTCAGGGCAGGTGTGTTTTGTGCTTGTGGTACTGGAAGGTACCGTGACGAGCTGACTACATCCTGCTTCGCCTCTAACCCACTAGCAATAGCCTTAGATGGGAAAATATGATAATGACAATAGTTCCGTATTGTAAATGGCGGAACAAAAAGCTGTTTAGGGAGCTGATTGTCTCACTCCAGTTTATACACAATGTGAGACTGTGGGCGGCGGCATGCTGTCGCCTCACAGCAAGAAGGTTGTGGGTTCAAACCCCGGTTGCCCCGGGGTCTGCATGGGTTCTCTCCGGGTGCTTCCTCACACCGTCCAAAGACATGCAGACTAGGTTGATTGGTGACCCTAAATTGTCCTTAGGTGTGAGCGTGAGTAGTTGGTTGTCTATGTGTGGCGCTGCGATGGACCTGTCAAGGGTGCCTTTCTCATCCACTCCCCCACGACCCTGTACGCAGGATAAGCAGTTGGCGATGGATGGATGGGCGCCTATACTCATCAGATTATCGTTGTTAAGATGTTTTTTTCTTCACTAAAATCAAATTTAGTTGATTAAATTGCCAAAAGCTTTTGGACGCCTGCCTTTACATGCAGATGAAGGTTAATGACATCCCATTCTTTATTTGTAGGGTTTAATATGGAGTTGGCCCACCCTTTGCAGCTTCAGCTCTTCTCTTGGGAAGGCTGTCCACAAGGTTTAGGAGTGTGATCATGGGAATTTGACCGTTTTTCTAGAAGTATATTTGTGAGGTCAGGCACTGATGCTGGACGAGAAGGCCTGGCCTAGCAGTCTCGGCTCTAATTCATCCCAACGGTGTTCTATCGGGGATCAGGACTCTGTGCAGGCCAGTTAAATTCTCCACACCAAACTCACTCATCCTTGTCTTTATGGACCTTGCTTTGTGCAATGCTGCGCAGTCATTTTGGAACGGGAAGGGGCCATCCCAAAAACTGTTTCCACAAAGTTAGGAGCATGAAATTGTACAAAATGTTTTGGTATGCTGAAGCATTAACTGTTCCTTTTACTTGAACTAATGGGCCAAGCCTAACCCCCTGAAAACAACCCCACACCATAATCCCCCAAATCTTCACACTTGGCACAATGCAGTCAGGCAAGTACTGTTCTCCTGGCAACTGCCAAACCCAGAGTTGTCCATCGGATTGCCAGACAGAAAAGCGTGATTTGCTATACACTGCTGCATCCGACGCTTTGCACTGCACTTGGTGATGTAAGGCTTGGATGCAGCTGCTCGGCCATAAAGACCCATTCTATGAAGCTCTCTACGCACTGTTCTGGAGCTAATCCGAAGGCCACGCAACATTTGGAGGTCTGTACTACCAACTAGAGCCTGACCGATATGGGATTTTTAAGTCTGATGCTGAATTCGATATTCGAGGATTATAAAATCCAATATGCCGATATATGGGCCAATATTCTTTTTCCTCCTTATTTTAAGAAATGCATAACATAAACAAAGATTATACCTAATATTTGTTATGTTGATACCATACCAAGATACCATGACATAATGCACTATAAAATAAACTTTTTTATTGTTATAAATAGCACTAACACAAAAGTACAACAAAATATGTTAAAGTTTTGATAAATAAGAGTCAAATGTATAAAACTACACAAAACATTTTACAAATATCTGATTTGTTATAAATTATGGAGTACTATTACTACTGAACATTAAATTAAATAGTGTATGTAGTGTGGGGGCCAGTAAAACACAAACTATAAACAAAATACCAATATACTACTACTAATAATAATAATAATACCATATATCAAATCTAATGTCACTGCTATAATATTAATGGTAAACAGGGCTCTCCTGAATAGGCAAAAAACTATATATATATATATATAATAATAATATATTTTATTTCTATATTTTATGTCTTTTCAGGACACTCAAAGACACTACAGTAAAAGCAGAAGTTATGTACATTTAAAACAGATTAAAAACACAAATAGCATAATATAAAATATATGAACAGTAGAGAAAAACATGTGGTGCGGAAATATTGTATTATAAAATGTATATTTTGTCATGAAATTGTTATTACCTTACATATAATCTGCCACAATTACTACTTTCTACTATGTAGTGTATTCACATCTAGGCTGTGTTCGAAACGGAAGGCAGTTGCCTCGCTGCCTCGATACCGTATTAGGCAGCTGCCTCAGAAGGCATCACTTTCAAGTGAAGGCAGCTCTGTTTACATTAGTTTCGGACAGCCTTCTAGGGCAGCACTTACGGCAACGTGTGACGTCAGCACGCCGTCTTGCGTCTCTTCTGACGCTAGCCGTAGCATAAGCTAACTAGCTATTGAAAAGCCAAATGGCTAACAGACACCTCAGAAATCATACTGAACAAACTTGGTTGGTTACAGTCACGGGCTAATATGATAGTTCAGTGTTTAGTTCTCGCTAGATTTTCAAAAATCGAAGCGAGAAAACTACCAAAAACCTTTAAAAACATATATTTGTGTACAAATTCGGCTCGTTTGTCCACCATGTTGACCAGTTTTCGAAAGCTCCGCGGCCACAGACGCGCTGCTTTATGGGTAATAGTCAGCATTAAGTCATCATTGATGCTGCCTTCAAAACTGACCGCTACTGGGGCAGCTTGAAGGCATCTCAGGAGACAGGAAGAGATCGTTCGAGAAGTTTCGAACAGCACTCGATGCCTCGCTGTCCTGTTAGACACCTTCTGAGACAGCAGTTTAGCCCTAGTTTAGCCCCTCGAACACAGCCCTAGTTTATCCCTTTAACAGCACTGTTAATTCTAGCCAAAGCTTCTGTGGTCCAGAGCTTTTGCGGCTCATCTCTGTACTTCTTAGCAAATTTCAATCTGGCCTTCCAATTCTTACTGCTGATGAATGGTGTGCATCTTGTGGTGCGGCCTCTATATTTCTGCTCTCTGAGACTTCTTCGAACAGTGGACTGTGATACTTTCACCCCTGCACTGTGGAGGTTGTTGGGGATGTCACTTACTGATGTTTTCGGGGTTTTCTTCACAGCTCACGATATTTCAGTCATCAATTACTGTTGTTTTCCTTGGCCGACCTGTTCGACGTCTGTTGCTCAGTACACCGGTAGTGTCTTTCTTTTTCAGGACATTCCAAATTGTTGTGCTTGCTTTGCCCAATGTTTGTCCAATGGCTCTGGTCAATTTTCCTTCTTTTCTCAGCTTGACAATGGCTTGCTTTTCTCCCATAGACAGCTCTCTGGTCTTCATTTTGGTGTATCCTCTTTAACAGGAAATGCAATCTTTATAGGTCTGAACCAAGAATGAAAACTTAGACTAGTCATGCAGAGCTATTTAATGTTTGGACAATCAACCTAAAAGGCAACACCTGGGCAACAAGAAACATCTGTCAGTCACATGTTCCAATAGTTTCGCTCATTTGAAAAATGGGTGGGTTAAAACACATCTAGATGTGAATACCACGAAATGAGAGCTGAAATTCTGAACTCTTGTCTTATACTCATCTTTTGATCTTAAACCCAAATATCTAATACTGGGTACCCTAATATTTTTGGAAGGGACTGTATTTAGAATACGTTAAACAATGTAGTTTAACCGCTCATTAAAGTTAGCGCTCCTCTACTGATAAATGTGGCATTAGTCAGCTTTGTGGCTAATTTAGCAACAGGCAGCGTCAACTGCTGTAAGTGATGATTAAGAATATTTAGAAGTAATAAATTAGAAAAATAAAAATAAGAGGACCATTCGCTAGAACTGTTTCAGAAATAATTCTACATTCACGTTTGTCAGTAACGTTAGCGTAACCACCACTCGCCTATCATTACCGTAACATTAAACACATTGCTGTGAGCCTGGAGAGGGAAGTGAATAATGGGAGGGATATGAAGTATAGTTTGGTAAGAGGAGAAGTGACGAGGGCTATTTTTATTATTAGGTTATGTAATTGACGTGACAAATGACTCACCAAGAGCTACCAGCAGCTACTCTTCGTGGCTCCAGTAGACTGCGGTCAGCGGATGTTTTGTTCAGTGGTGCTGCTGTGTTGTTAACAGAGGAGCTGCAGAGCACCCTATGGTGGACAAACTATGCAACACTCATGAGATGAGGGAAGGATCCGACTGTTTCTCTTTTAAATAGTCGTATATCGGCTGTTATAAATGCAGATACAGATATATCCGCAAGGAGCTTATATCGGCTGATAATATTTGCAAAACGATAAATCGGTCAGGCTCTACCAACAGTCAACTGAGGAATATTTAGTAGTGAGGAAATTTCACAAATGGACTTATTGCACAGGTGGCAACCTAACACGGTACCACGCTTGAATTCACTGAGCTGGTGTGTGCGCCCCATTCTTTTTACAAAAGTTTGTAGAAGAAGTCTGCATGCCGATGCGCTTGATTTTATACACCTGTGGCCATGGAAGTGATTGGTACATGGGATTCAATGATTCGGTATATTGTAGTAAGAGCATTGTGGTATATTATATATATATATATATACCACAATGCTCTTACTACGTTCCTCCCTCCTTTGGAGCGCAGGGCACGTTTCAACTTAAACAAGTGAAACATAGCTAAGGCCGCCAATGACTTTTATTTAGAAACAGTTGTCTTCCCTCACTGAATACATTTTCCATCAATCACCTTTGTGATTTGTACACTTCACCACACAACTTAGCTTAAAGTATTTGCTGTTGACAAATTGAATTAGATAAGGATTTCAAATAAAGAATTGTTTATATAGTTATACAAAGTTTCCTATATCTATTTGTTTGCTCTTCAAACCAGTATCCTCATATAGTGAAATAATAATTTTCCACTGAATTGACTTTCATTCCATTGTTAAGGACATGGGAAAGGGATGCACATATAGCAAATCTCAGTGTGTAATTTCATCATCAGTTATTCCTCTTATAGTGCACAAACAGTATTGGAAAATGTCAAATCACTTGTCATATAAATTATTTTCCACATTTGTCATTAAATTGATTTTATTCATTAGGAAATTACAGATGTTTCACACAGCATAGGCACATACTAAAATATTTCATTTAATTTCCTTTTATTTCATCGTAAACTAGCATGTTTTGGTAATTTCCACATCATATCCATTGTAAAGGAAAATACTTTTCAATTCCACATCAATAGCTAGTCCACATATAAGAATTCGCAAAATATCTTCAGACACAATGGCATAACATTATAAAGTTTATACAGAGCAGAATGTAAATATATATGCAGTATATTTTCTATTTTTCAATTCAAATATGTATGCATGTGCAACTGCTGTAACTATCCTTTCTTTACAGCAATGCTTTTGTTCATATCTTCATATTTCATATGCCTTTATATAAAAACAATTGTCTTCCTTCTTTGAAAACATTTTCCATCTATCACCTTTGTGATTTGTGCACTTTGTGTTTGGTTTGCCAAAAGAATAAGAGGACGATTTCAAATAAAGGATTGTTTGTATAGTTATAGAATGTATCTTCTATATATTGTTTTTTTCTTTAAATCAGTGTTCTCAACTACTGAAATAATAATTTGCTACTGAATTTACTGTTATTCCATTGTTAAGGACATGGGAAAGGGACATACATACATATTGCAAATCTCAGTGTTTCATTTGATCATTGATTATTCCTCTTATTGAGCACATACAGTATTAGGAAATATCAAATCACGTTATACAACAAAATTTCCTCATTTGTCACTAAAATGATTTTATTCATTAGGAAATGAACAGAGCATAGACATGATAAAAAGATTTTATTTAATTTGCTTTTGTTCAAATGTTAAGGACAATATATAGAGCAGAATGTAAATATGTGTATAATATTTTTTTAATTCAAATATGGGTGTGCCCTGTGATGGACTGCTGACCTGTCCAGAGTGTACCCCACATTTTGCCTGATGCCCCCCCACCCCTCATGACCCTGCATAAGCGGGATAAGCAGATGGAGAGATGGAAATTCAAATATGGATGCATGTGCAACTGCTGTAACTTTCCTTTATTTGCAGGATTGCTTGTGTTCATATCTTTATCATAATTGTTCATCATATTTCTAATTATTTATTAAATTACTCAGGAAGCGATAGGTCCTCAGCTGTCTCATGTGATTTTCTTTTCATTTTTTAACAAGATAATTTACAGATTCAAACAACATGTAATCATCAGATGAAGAAACATGTAACTTGTTGTATTTATTCTCGATACTGAAAGAATACATGACAAATATTTTGCTTAAAGGGTTCACTTATACTGGATTAGGAAGTTGCCAATATTTCATAGGGAAGCCAAAAGTGAAAACTGTGTTACAGCCTCGATGAACATACATTTCTTATTAGGAGCATTTTTATGCTCTGCTTGAGTTCTGCAGTTTTCAGTCCATATATTATTGGGTCCAAAAAAGGAGGGAAAACTAAAACTGACACACCAAGAGCCCTTCTCAGAAAAGGGGACACACTCTCAAAGCGATGAGAAATTAGTGTAACCATAGTATTGATTTGAAGAATTAAGAAAACCACTAAATGTGAGCCACATGTCTGAATGGCTTTTCGCCGGGCATCAGTCTGATTAGTCATGACACATGTACGCAGAATCTGTGCATATGTGAACACTATTATTAACAGTGATCCGCCTTGGAGTAAGACTATAGTGAACAGTCCATAGTAGTTGTTCACTTCGGTGTCCTCACAGGCCAGTTTCAATAATGATGGATTGTTACAGTATAAATCTACTATATTTGTCCTGCAATTTTTTAACCGTTCAAGCAACGAAATCAATGTGACCATCAATGAGAGATTTATAAACCATATTATCATAATAATCCTAACTAATTTATGTTGAGTCATGATGGCATTATACTTCAAAGGAAAACATATCGCAATATATCTGTCATATGCCATGGCACTCAAGATCAGCAAGTTTCCTGTACCGTAAACATGAATCAAAAAAGCCTGAGTAATACATGCAGGATAGGATATCAGTCTGTTCTGTGTCACAATGCTGAAAACAAGCTGTGGAAAAAAAGCTGTAGCACCAACCATGTCGCTAATGGGCAAATTGAACAGCAGGATAAACATGGGCTTGTGTAGCTTTTTACTCCACGCAATCGTTATTAATACCAAAAGGTTGAAAAACATAATTAACAGATATGTTAAAGTCCCAAACAGAAATGCTGGGTAAATATATGCATCAGATAAGCCCAGTGTTGTCAATGTTAGCAAAAGTGCAGAAGACGCATTTGTGTACATAATTGTGCAGTACTGCACTATGATGTTGTTTTTATTGTTGCTGAAATTCTTGCCAACTGATGAAGAATTAATTTCCAACTGAAAAAAAACACAAAAACATAAATATTATACCTATGAACAAACAATCTTAGATTAAGTGCTATGGAATGATTCAGCTGTGCCTCTGATATCTTACCTCTGGCAATCTGATGTCCTATTCTCAGCTGGAGTTGAATTGAACTGTGCTCTAAGATGTAAAACACTCTGCCTCTTATTGATATTTAAGCACAAGGATAACCAGTGATGACCTGTCCAGGGTGTACCCCGCCTTTCGCCCGATGTAAGTTGGGATTGGCTCCAGCCCCGCCGTGACCCTGTACACAGGATAAGCGGTTGACGATGGATGGATGGATGGATGGATAACCAGTGATATTACACAAGAGTGCAGTGCAGAAAAACTGACATACATAACATGTATGACACAATGCAGTTTAAAACTGAACACAACAAAATTATAAAGGCAACACTTTTGTTTTTGCCCCCATTCATCTTGAGCTGAACTCAAAGATATAAGACTTTCTCTATGTACACAAAAGGCCTATTTCTCTCAAATATTGTTCACAAATCTGTCAAAATCAGTGTTAGTGAGCATTTCTCCTTTGCCAAAATAATGTCCACCAGAGCTGTTGCCCATGAACTGAATGTTCATTTCTCTACCATAAGCCATCTCCAAAGGCGTTTCAGAGAATTTGGCAGTACATCCAGCCAGCCTCACAACCGCAAACCATGTGTAATCACACCAGCCCAGGACTTCCACATCCAGCATCTTCACCTCCAAGATCGTCTGAGCCCAGACACCCGGACAGCTGCTGCAACTATTGGTTTGTATAACCAAAGACTTTCTGCCCAAACTGTCAGGAACCGTCTCAGGGAAGCTCATCTGCATGGTGTTGCACTGAGTGAAGCAAATGGTGGTCACAGCAGATACTGACTGGTTTCTGGACCCTCCACAATTTTGAGTGGCCTATTATTGTGGCAGCCTAAGGCACACCCGTGGAGTACCCATGCTGTCTCATCAGAATCTTGATATGCCACACCTGTGAGGTGGATGGATTATCTCAGCAAAGGAGAAATGCTCACACAGATTTTGACAGATTTGTGAACAATATTTGAGAGAAATAGGCCTTTTGTGTACATAGAGAGAGTCTTAGATCTTTGAGTTCAGTTCATGATGTATGGAGGCAAAAACAAAAGTGTTGCGTTTATAATTTTGTTCAGTATAGTTGCCTTTTGTATCGTGTACAAAACCATTTCCATCTGGGTGACAACAGAGGATTAACCTCTTACAGCAGCCTCACATTAATAATATCACATAGGTTAAATGTGTGTTCAGTAGACCCCCATCATCTCTGGTATGAAGAAAGAATAAAATATATCCCTTGGAGACCATAAATTCACAGACCACCTTATCAACTGCCATTACAGTGGCCATACATTTTCTTTTTTTTTTGCAAATAAATTGCATATTTGACCAAACTTTGCACACACTTCAGACAAGGTGAAAAATTGCATGTTTCTCAATATAGACAGATTGAGACAGTAGTGCAATAAGCAAAGTGCAAAGGATGCAGGAGTAAATTCTTATTACCATTATTATTATGTACATGTCAGAGGTGGATGAGATATGCATGTGCACATACACATACATGCATAAATGTACACATTGCGATGGAGCATGGTGCAAAGGATGCTGAAATAAATAAGTATTATGTGCAGGTGTTATGTACTTGAGGTAGGTGGATTTGGTATACAGTATATACAATATACAATATGACAATATTAACAGGATGAACAGCTCTGAAATAGAGAATGATGAATAATTGTAAGTGGTAACCAGTAAGCAGGTGGCTGATTAGAGACAGAGATACTACGTCCTGAATGGAGGGCAGGTTGGCACCGATGATCTTTTTTTTGCAGTCCTGACTGTCCGTTGTAGTTTGCTCCTGTCCTTTTTGGTGGCAGATCCAAAACAGACAGTGATGGACATGCATAGGACAGACTGGATGATGGCTGTGTAGAAGTGGATCAGCAGCTCCTTGGCCAGGTTGACCTTCCTGAGATGGGGCAGGAAGTACATTCTCTGCTGGGCCTTCTTGATGATGGTGTCTGTGTTGGGTTCCCACTTTAGGTCCTAGGATATAGTGGACCCCAGAAACCTGAAGGCAAGGCAAGGCAAGGCAAGGCAAAGTTTATTTGTATAGCACATTTCAACAACAAGGTAATTCAAAGTGCTTTTACATAAAACATAAAAGCAACAGGGAAATATAAAAAAATTTAAAAGCAACATAGGGAAATTGAAAAAATACACATTAATATACACTGCTCAAAAAAATAAAGGGAACACTTAAACAACACAATGTAACTCCAAGTCAATCACACTCCTGTGAAATCAAACTGTCCACTTAGGAAGCAACACTGATTGACAATCAATTTCACATGCTATTGTGCAAATGGAATAGACAACAGGTGGAAATTATAGGCAATTAGCAAGACACCCCCAATAAAGGAGTGGTTCTGCAGGTGGTGACCACAGACCACTTCTCAGTTCCTATGCTTCCTGGCTGATGTTTTGGTCACTTTTGAATGCTGGCGGTGCTTTCACTCTAGTGGTAGCATGAGACGGAGTATACAACCCACACAAGTGGCTCAGGTAGTGCAGCTCATCCAGGATGGCACATCAATGCGAGCTGTGGCAAGAAGGTTTGCTGTTTGTCAGCGTAGTGTCCAGAGCACGGAGGCGCTACCAGGAGACAGGCCAGTACATCAAGAAACGTGGAGGAGGCCGTAGGAGGGCAACAACCCAGCAGCAGGACCACTACCTCGGCCTTTATGCAAGAAGGAGCAGGAGGAGCACTGCCAGAGCCCTGCAAAATGACCTCCAGTAGGCCACAAATGTGCATGTGTCTGCTCAAACGGTCAGAAACAGACTCCATGAGGGTGGTATGAGGGCCCGACGTCCACAGGTGGGGGTTGTGCTTACAGCCCAACACCGTGCAGGATGTTTGGCATTTGCCAGAGAACACCAAGATTGGCAAATTCACCACTGGCGCCCTGTGCTCTTCACAGATGAAAGCAGGTTCACACTGAGCACATTTGACAGAGTCTGGAGACGCCATGGAGAACGTTCTGCTGCCCGCAACATCCTCCAGCATGACCGGTTTGGCGGTGGGTCAGTAATGTGTGGGGTGGCATTTCTTTGGGGGGCCGCACAGCCCATGTGCTTGCCAGAGGTAGCCTGACTGCCATTAGGTACTGAAATGAGATCCTCAGACCACTTGTGAGACCATATGCTGGTGCGGTTGGCCCTGGGTTCCTCCTAATGCAAGACAATGCTAGACCTCATGTGGCTGGAGTGTGTCAGCAGTTCCTGCAAGAGGAAGGCATTGATGCTATGGACTGGCCCGCCCGTTCCCCAGACCTGAATCCAATTGAGCACATCTGGGACATCATGTCTCGCTCCATCCACCAACACCACGTTGCACCACAGACTGTCCAGGAGTTGGCGGATGCTTTAGTCCAGATCTGGGAGGAGATCCCTCAGGAGACCATCCGCCACCTCATCAGGAGCATGCCCAGGCGTTGTAGGGAGGTCATACAGGTGTGGAGGCCACACACACTACTGAGCCTCATTTTGACTTGTTTTAAGGACATTACATCAAAGTCGGATCGGCCTGTAGTGTGGTTTTCCACTTTGATTTTGAGTGTGACTCCAAATCCAGACCTCCATGGGTTGATAAATTTGATTTCCATTGATAATTTTTGTGTGATTTTGTTGTCAGCACATTCAACTATGTAAAGAAAGGAGTATTTAATGTGATTATTTCATTCATTCAGATCTAGGATGTGTTATTATAGTGTTCCCTTTATTTTTTTACAGTGTATAATAAAACTTATAGTGCAGTGTACAATCAGGGTTAAAAGAGTTATATGGAAAATAGAAACTGGCTCCTCTGTTGTGAATTATTTTGGAGAATTATAGCCTAAATTGTTATCATTAATTACTAGAGCGATGGTGGTCTACATTGTCATCATTAAAAGTGTTATTTTATAGTGTAAAGGTAGGATCACAGTGTTAAAACTCTATTGTTCTGAGTGTGTGTGCTCCTTTCTGTATCTAACTGCCCAGGCTCAGCAGTAGCACGTGTGTGTGTGTGTGTGTGTGTGTGTGTGAGTGAGCAAGCACAGTGGGATAGCAAAGCAGCATCAAAAACACCTGCAAAGGAAAATGTAGAAGCAGATTTTGTGAAATTGTCAATATCAATATAGTCCATCACAGTAAGAATGTCCTGTTTCTAGCACAGAGCACAAACACACCAGTTTATTCCACAAAAGTCAGGTTATGGAAGAAATGGCATGATCAAGCGGGGGGCATGCAAAAGACACAGAGAGGAGGAGTAGGCAGTCAGGGACTTTCCACCAAATGCTTAGGCACATGAAAATCTTGGACTTTCCCAGATTCAGGTGCAGTAGGAAAGAGAGCCAAGAGATGATGTGAAGCCAAGAAACAGAGCTATAAAAGGAGGTGAAAGTCAGTTGTTACATGGTTTTCATGTCGACTCGGGTCTCTGTTCTGGTAACAGAATGGGGCTCTATTTTGCACCAATCTCTAACACACTCCGGTGGAACTTTTGCATTCTAATTGGTGTCTGTTTTTGTTGATAATAAAAATGTTGGTAAAAGTTCAAGCTTTCTTATCTGGCCCAAGTCTTTTTACACGACATTACCTCCACTGAAATCCACAATCATCTCCACAGTTTTGAGCGTATTAAGCTCCAGGTTGTTCTGGCCAGAGAGCCAGCTGATCAACCTCCCGTCTGTAGGCTGACTCATCACTGTCCCGTATGAGGCCGATGACTTGTCTTCAGCAAACTTCAGGAGTTTGACAGATGGGTCTCTTGAGGTTCAGTCGTTGGTGTAGAGGGAGAAGAGCAGTGGGGAGAGCACACCCCTGGGGGGCACCA